TACTAAATAAATTTCAAATTTATTAAAAATTTAAACATGGGTGTTTATTAAAGTAGCTTACCAAATGATAAAAAAAACCAACATATAACTTTGTAATGAAGTGTATGGTTCAGTACTTGAGCAACAGGTACCATCATTAAAATTCATATGATCATTGCAATATAAGTTTAACAATATTTGAGCTCTTAATCGTAAAGATGCATTACTAGAATGGAGACCATCTGGACTATCATTCATTTCTCCCTGGGAAACAAGTCTTGAACTCCACCACATTTCAGCTGAACTTTTACTTAAAACCTAAACATTTATAAAAATCTTATCATTTAATAATACTCGTAGAATTTGAATAAAGATTTAGAGACCTACTATAACAAATTTACACAGAAAATGTATTTACTATAAAATAATAAGCTTACATCCATTGCGGCTTCATTATACAAATCAATTAAATTATTAGTAACCATAGACATTGAACTATCAAGTTTACTCTCTTCAACTGGTTCTTGCAAAACCCACAACACTATTGATTTTGATGAGATATCATTAATAGGCTAAAACAAAATATATTTAATTTAATTTTAATTTGTATAAACTATACTTCATATTGTCTTACCTCAATTAATAGCGTGATATTAGCAATATAATCTTGAATACCATTTAAGGATCCATTTGATTGAATTATGGGCCAAATAGCACTTCCTGCTACAATTACTCGAGGTTTATCATTTACATCCTATATCATATATCACTGTAAATTTTATTTTTATTTAGGTCGAATATAAAGTAAAAATATTTAAATATATGTTCAATTTACTTGCTTTCAATTTTTTAAAATATTTGACCATTGGATCTATATATGGACTCCCAAAAAAATTTACATCCAATTTCAGACGACTGTCATGGAATAGATGATCAGAGTCAGAATAATGAGATAGTGCAAATTTTGAACTTTTAACCAATTGTGCTTTTGGTTCTATAGTATGAATTAGAGCATTATATATATCTAGTATTCTAGAATCACCAATAAAATGAAACTGGTTATGACTTCCTCTAAATGCTAAATATTTTAAGCAACGGCTACAATCTCTGAAATCAATATTTTAATAAATAAAATGTTAATTATTAAGCATAAAAATACAAAATAGTTTAGTAAATAAAATTCTATAAATGTTGGATGTACAATCAACTATTATTTTAATTTAATGATTTTATTATTGGTGTTCGATTTGGAATTGTATGATACAGTACGACAGCAAGGTATTTTTGTTCCCATATTACTAATTTAATATATAAATTAAGCTCACATTATTCATGGTAGATTATTATATATGAGACTGTCAAAGATTTTTGTTAACCTGTACTCGATATGATGTTGATATTTTATAGTACCTACATAATAATGTTCTTCTTTAAATTTAGAAACAATAATTTAATATTAACAAATAGTTATTCAATTGTTAAGTTTGATTATTATAGACTGCCAAGCACGTAACAGCAATTTATTAAATCTTCCACATTTTTTTTTTTCAAAATCTCATAATTTTTTATCAATATAATGCTTAGACTGGCGGTCTTACACTTATTGCTATTTTATTCAAAAATAAAAACACAAACTTACATTGTTAAACAAAATAATTAAATAATAAGTTTAACATAAATTGAGAAAAAAAATTGATTACATTTATATATTTTAAACATAGGAATAAAAGGAAATGTATGACTTATTGACATACATTCACACTAACCTAACCTAGGGACACATTAATCTGAAAAGTTCTTAAACAAAAACCAGTTGGCATAAATGCATTCAAACTATACATTTCCAACCATTGGCCGTTAAGCAAAATAATGGTAGAATTATATTTAGTTGCTACCAATCAAAATTGTTTTACTCCTTAGTTTTAACACAATTCAGTACAGGCGCGGATCTAGAACGTATTAACGGGGGGGGGCATCTTAAATAAAATTTCAGCCTATAAGTCTGATAAAAATGCAAGTTATGCAAGTCCATTTAAGCGTGAGTCTACGGGGGGGCCATGGCCCCTTGGATCCGCGCCTGATTCAGTAATAGCCACGGAGATGTAACAAATTTACATCTACAGAATACCTACAACTGACCAATTAATTTTGATCAGTTTTAACTCAACCATATTATTTAAAGTTTATAACATTTTTTAATTAAGTCTAACTCAAATCCTCAAGATAGTCCAATTCTAAAAGTTAATAATATTTATTGATTAATATTAAAATGTTCTTTAGTTTTACTTAATGCTTAAAGTAGGTATAGGTATGCTATGAAAATTACTTGTTATAATTTATAACAATCACATACACAACAATAATAATAATTTGTATTAATAAAACTATTTTTATCAGGTGATCATATCATGCATGTTCCATTGCACCTATTCTACCAATCTCCTGTGAGCATTATAACTGAGAAGTTACAAATAGCCATTACTACAGCCTATTTCAACAACAAAATCATACTTTGGGAAATAGACTGAACCAAAATTAAACTTACAATTCACTATATTCGTGCATCATGCAACCATATGGTTGCCAGCCCATGTCACCTTTGTATCGTCCGTCGGATAGAAGCCATTTGCAGGAATCTCTTGCTACAAAAATATACTAGATTATAATATGAATAGTCGGAAATAGAATCAAAAGTTGCAAGTTGTGTATAACTAAGTACTGCCTGTTTTTGTATACTTACCATAAAACAAATGAATACAAGAATGGATGACAATAAACCAAAACACAAAGCATAATGCTATTTTCTTGGCATTTTTAGAGTTAAATTTTTTATTAATGTCGTCGTGCCTCTGAACGGATTCATTGCATAATAGCGGCGCTTCGTCGGAGATTTGATCATCGGCCATTTTCATGAATCATATATAAGCATTGCTGATATTTCGGTCACTATCCGTTGTGCGTTGATTTTACTTAACACACGACAAATCACAGCTTGCAGACAATTATATTCAATTTATTGAAAAAATGTTATTATTAAACGAAAAACGGAGCAGAAGGGTTAAAACAACAAAACTTCCGCTTAAATAATTAACACTTTATTTTTTTTTTTTCGGGAGGATGAGATCAGAAATCATTGCCTAATGACCATTGGGGCTAAAACAGTGTAGCCATATCGCACCAACCTATAATACATTAATACTGTACAATCCAAAATGTGTGGACGAGTGTACAATTACAGTGTACAATAGTGTACGATATTATCGTGGGTAAAGAGAATAAAAAAAAAAGTATCATATGGACGATATTGAACCGTTGGGCGAATGACGATGGACCTTTTTATTAGGGAAATAAGCTGTATGATATTTTGTCGCTATAATTCAATATAATATTTTAAATTAAAACCATTGTCTATTGATTTTATAATAATAATTATTAATTATATTTTTCAAATAAAAAACTGAACAACATTTTCGAGTAATTCCTACAATTAAAATGTTTATAGAAATTGCATTAGACGACCAACGCCATTATATTGCTCACTATATGTATAGCACTACCTGCAGCTATTATTAATCTATATAAACGTTACAATTTGAAAATAAATTATTATATTTTACTTTTTACATATACACCACAATCAGGTTCAGTCTAAATGTCTAATGTATGTATATAAATATATAATATATTTTACAAGAACTGTAGCCACATAATAGATGAAATTAGGTAGCAGGATACTGGATAGGTGGCAGTGGCATAGAAATAGTTTTTGCATCGATCGAAAATCATAAACCTACCAACCGCTATACGGCTATACTATATTGAGTCTATATTATAGAGCATAGACAATTCCTTCGATACAAAAATACAAAATGTTCAAAATTCAAAAACTTTGCTCTGTCCAGCGAGAGATCACGCCTAACCTGCACATCCACCCGCGTCACCTATCAGAACTGGTTCCCCCTTGGCAGGATGTCGTGTGGCGATGCACGGAAAACTCGATTTTAGTCAGCCCGTAACGTGTTTTCTCTTTGGACTATAAGTATAAACTATAAAGTATAACTGCTTTTAGGACTTTAGCTTTTAGCAATGCTAAACTACGGTAACTATATATTTCAAAAGCTTATAATTGTATTATAGTGATTTTTGAAAGTATAACGAGTAAATATTAAATAATCAAATTAATTACATGTTTAGAAAACTAAGGTACCCATTATATTTTTAACACTTTGGAAACTGTTCATGATTAATGAATACTTTATTAACGTTTTTATTTTTCTGAAAAAGATACATATGTACCTAATTCCGATGATCAACATTTTATAATTTTATAATAGTAAAAATGAATGAATAATAATAAATAAAATGTTATTCCTAGTAATTATTGGTCAAATAAAAAATAAATATTAATAATAAATACGAACTGTTGCCTGTCGGTACAACTATAAGCCTATAAAATATATAATGTAACTTTAGTCCAATCATTATTGTTTGTTTTATAAATATTATGATACTATTACTATAACCTATTACCTACCTAACACGTATGTTGAATTTATTCCTACCATAGAAATATTAAGACATATTCTTAATATCTCTATGATTCCTACCTACTTATAAACAAAAGTTATACTATACGCATGCGTTAAAAGATTAAAAACCATAAAAACTAACTACCTACTAAGTAGTAAGTACCTATTTAAAAGTGTGCGTAAATGCGTAATTTGCTATGACTATAATAATAATATTATAATGACTTATGACTTTTGAGTATTGATATCGATATGACTTGCTTGGCTGCGTTTCACATAATATTATAACACTTATATAGTATAATACTACACTACTACAGCCTATTCTGTATAGTGTATAGGTACAAACATATGATTGAAATTAGTTTAAACTCGACTCGAATGTTTCCTGTTGGCTGTTAAGTACGTATAATTTTATCTCAAACACTTACGTGTATAGCCGTTTAGATACTTATAATTTAAAATTATATTGTATCATAAATCATAATAGTCATAAACTCATACCATAATTTTATACTATAATATAATTACATAAATATATAATGTGTAATGTACTAAAAATTATAATTTACTAACTAATCTACGCGTACGTATGGTGTTTTATACGTAAAGACTGTAGCTGGGATCACCAAGTAATGACAAAATGTATCAAATTGAAAATGTACAAATTATTTTTTAGTTAAAAATGTATAATTTTTTCAGCTTCTATAGCTAAGGATTGAAAACATAAAACAAGGTTCCACGTAAGTAGTTAATTCTTTAACCAAAATAAAATCTAAAAAAAATTATAAACACAATTTTTTTATGGATATTTTAAGTTCAAATGTTGACGAAATTACATACTAAAACCAAGAATCATATTAGTTATCTTATTATACAAATCGAAATTTCTTTTGTCACGTATATACTTATTATTGCCGAGATATAATAGTTTTAAACTGAAAGCAAATAAAAACCACGAATAACTTAGTAATAATTTTAATAATTTTAGTTATTTTGCTGTATTAATACTGTATAATTATTATATATATGTAGTTATAAATAATAATGCAATTTAGTATTCCTCACCTCCGCTCCCACGAGTACTCTTAGTTTAAAAAAACAAAATTAAAACATAAATATTTGCCTGCCCCGGTAACATAGCTTTATATAATATCAATATATGATCCCTACTATATATTTATATAATTATATACCCATTACCTATATGGCTAAACATGGCTATTTTATAAAATTCATTTTTGCACTTTCGTATTTGGTATATAAATATATAATACCATATTATAATTTACATGGGTACTCTATCAGTGGCGCAACTAGGATCTTTATTGGGCCCTGAAGACAAAGTAAATCTGGGGCCCTATAATTAATTAAGTATTTGTAGATAATTTTTTTTTTAATGCTGACACAAGCGAAATAATACTGTGTAAATTATTTCTGGTTATATTTTAATAATAATTAATAACGAAATTACAAAATTTATTGAAAAAGAATTTAAAAAAAAACATTTTAAATTTAAAATATAATTATTTAACTAAGCATATTAACTTTTCTTGCTTTGGTTTAAGACGTAAGGCAGATATTGCACAATGACTAAAATCGGTACTTCACGTTTATAACAGACGTAATCAATGTATATCATAATATTATACTAATTCATTTTACATGGAATTTTAAAATAACTTCATATGGATATGACCGTCGCCCTTAAGAAAACCGGTATATTTATGAATTGTCAAAAGTATCATAGACCATATTAAACTATAGACCGATCACCGATGGACGTTTCATTTATAAATTGACAATTGTCATATTACTATATTAGTTATTATTTATATTTTAAATGGCCAGTGGATCTTGATATCTAATAATAATATTTACGGTGAGCATCGGAGTCGGAAATAAATATTGACCCCCGCCCGCCACAAATCTGTATGATACCATCATTGGGCTGTTATTCTCAGAATGTTAACAGTATTGTTGTATTAAGTATTTATAGGTACATAATAATATACAGAATATTAAGTAATGAGCAATGGCTGTAGAACTATAGTCTATAAAACATAATACAATATAAATAATATAATAATATAAAATAATACATATATAGTATAGTATAGTGTTTAACTTGCGGACTGCACGGTCTGCACGTACCACACTGCGCCCTCGCGTATTAATTATTGATTATAATAATTTCATCGGTATCAAAATTAACTATGATAAAAATGTTAAATGATCACAGATTTGATTTAATTCTTTAGCATTAAAAACACCCTACCGGCTCCCAGGTTACGAGTATGATGGGACCCCTTTGAGTCTTAGGGCCCCGATGCTAGGCATCGCCACCAGCCCCGGTTGTTGCACCACTGTACTCTATATGATTGAGAAACAGCTACATTATGTATACCTATCATCATAATTCATAGTACCTATGAATTATGATACCATTGATACCTATACAAGAAAATAAAAGAAAACAGCTGATTATAAAAAAAAGGCCTCAGTTGGATACGATGGAGGGGACGGAAGGGCGTATGCAACTATATATATATGTAACTATAAATAATAATATAAACCTACTGACACTACTGAATAGTGATTACTGATTATTGACTATTGTACTTAATGTTCAGATTTTTACCTGACTTGAGTGCTTGTATGAGTGAAAATTCTTAATGTTGCTTGTTCATCCATAACTGCCCACCTAGGTAAAAATAGACTTAAAAAAGGCTTTATACTTGTAGTAAACTAGTAACTACTACATGCGTCCTACCACACGTCTAAAATTTAGATTGCAGACATCTATTTGAATATTTAATAGTTTTCCAAATCAATATTTTAAAAACATTAATAGTGGTGGGAAATATAGGCAAATAAGTAGATATATACCGGTTATGAGACATCCTACATTTTATACTATTACTATTACTATTATAGTATTATATTAAGCATTAAAAATATATAATTTAAATCGATCACATTGCTCTTAAAATACCTATTTTTCCTTAATATCGATTATAAAATAATATATTTCATTATTTCATGATGGAATTCAAATGAGTACACTCTCCAGTCATTACATCTTATACTATCTTAGTATAGGCATCATACAGATTATCCCAATGATTACAATAGTATTATACTATTTTAGCGATACTATAATTTATAGAGTAAACACTATAAAGCATTAAAACTAAACATCTACAGGGTGACTTTTTAAGCATGCTCGCCCCATTTTTATGCTTGAATTATACATACATTCAAATTCTGATTTTTGGAATTTTTAAATGTAGTTAATTACGATATTTTCGTGTGCTTAGATTTTTCACAACATTTAAAGATTATTCTGTGGCGATACCAACTTTTGTTTTTTATATGACGACCTATATGTTTTAAAGCAAAATGTGGTTCTGAAAATGTTGGCGTATTGTAATCGAAATTTGAACTTTCTTCCTTAGTTATTCTTCTTTACATACTCCTTTCATAATCCTACATGGCTACATGATAAATTATAATTGATCTGTTTGACTCATACAGTCGCACATAACCTACACACTTTATTAACTATAATAACTATATATATATAATATATACGATATACCTACTGGCTACTATAATACTATATAATAATAATAAACTGTGTGAGTATACTTACTTGAACAATACTTACTGATGATTCGCTAGGTCACATTGATATTATACCATATTTGTTTCATCAGTTTAAAGCGTTTATATAATATATTATATATATATGTACTGTGAGGTGGTCTGCAACTCGTATTGTGCGTTAGTTAATTCAGATTTTGAAATTGTACAGTCGTTGTTCACTCTTTTGCAGCAACGGGGATGAAATCAATATAAATTATAAGTTGCTTCTGATTGTACAATACATAAAACTCATACCAATACAACACATCAAAAATATACGCTTCAATTATAGTGGTTGTTGTGACGATTCAGGGAGGGACACGTATATCACCTCATATACAGTGTTTTCATGAACCACGTATGGAGGTAAACATTCATTGAGGGTTTAACATATGTTTGTGGAGATTTTATAAGCTGTGGAGAGTAAGTACGTTGTTATTTATATACGTTATGTAATTATGTTAAGTGTTAGCCCATTTAACTGCTACATTCTCATAAATCATAATGAATATTGAGTAGATTTTTGATTATTGATGTACACTGTCCAGAATAATGCTTACTGCAGAGTTTGTGAACTTGTCACTTGTGGGTACATAAAATAACACGCAGCTATATAGTAGATAGTATATTACTTATATTACCTACCTATATAAACTGATGTCTACATAAAGTGCACCAAATAAAAAACTCAATATATGATAGTAAGAAGTAAACCTCAGATAAATGTATACAATATTATATTTGTATATAATAACATCATTATAAATGTAAATGTACATTTTTTTTTCAAAATAATCAGGAACACCAAATTAGAGAAAAAATTTAATTTTTATATAAAACGAGTAGGTACTCGACAAAATTGTTTGTTTTTTCAAAAACTCGTAACTATTTAGGTAATTTAAATGTTCACCAAATGTTTATAATTATAATATCATTTTCTAATTTCCTACATATATTATTTCTCTTAATATTTTTACGATTTTTGAGCTAGGTGTGAACATTTATAATTTTCAATTTTTTAAAGCTTTTTTCTAAAAATGTTGATAAAAAATATGGACACACATTATACCTACATGGACACGAATTTTTTTTAAGCATTTAAATTTTAAAGTTCACAGTTGTACAACATGTTGTAAATAGTTGCAATGATTTATCATTGAAATTAAATTGAACAAGTCATACATTTGTAACTGGAAATTTAGGGTGAAATTACTGAGAGGGGGGGGCTTATCTAAGACATTACTTCGCTCACAACTATTCATTCCAAAAAAGGCAATTTACAAGAGTATACTTGGCTACTACTATAAGTACAGACGGCCATGATTAAATCACTTTGGGGACCTAGGCACTTTCTCTACAATGCGGAGAAATATGGAGAGTTTAATATATTTTGAACTTTTCATGGGCCCTAACGGACTAGCATCTATTGCCCCGACGCACAGTGCCTATATTTTCTATGAGGTTTAATACGGTCCTGGAGATACTTGGTACACCGACAATTTTAGAATCGACTACAAGTTTGTAGAATAATATTCTTCACAGTGAAAATGATCGATAAAATATAAATTAACATGCATTTAAAATTCTTGACCGTTTAATCTGAATAATTTATTTGCTCTTATAATGATGCAATTACTGTGATCCTTGGCTATTAAACATCGACGTTAAAATTGAATCGTTAATCGTAAATAGTTCACATAATATTTATCTCGAAAATTACAGGATAGCCGATAGGTCATGTGTATTACGTAAAAATAATATATATACAATATTGTCTATTGAATGTATCATTATATCATGATATTAATAATTACTGATAAGTAATAGCTATAAGCACAGAACAATATAAGTTCACTATCATTAAATTAAACTATATTATTACAACGAAGTGTGAGTAGTTGCAGATTGTTAGAATACTAGGTACCTATTACATTGACAATTATTTTGAAACTTAGACATCGACAATCATATAAATGTTATTATTTTTTTTTTTTTAATTTGTATGAGATAATGTACAATCTATAATGTATAGCACAATAAATATATGTGAAAAGAGTTATACATGAATAAGCTTGATTAAGAAGTCACCCTAAGC